TTTTCATTTGATTTACACATCAAAACCAGAATTGCAAGATGAAACAATGGAATGCGAAAGAAAAAGAAAGCTATCTGTTTTGTCCATTTAGAATCAAAATTAGATATGTGAATCAGATCGAAAATTAAGTCAAAAAGAGTTTCTTAGCGATACTTTTATTACATCAGCATTATTCATTATCAAAGTACTGCAACAGATCAACCATAATGTTTTGGTTCATTCTTGATCAAAATTGCAATCTTTTAATTCTGTAATATAAATGATAAATTGCATTTTACGAATCAAAACATCTCATAGCAAAATAGTATCTTCAAAAATATCATCAAATTTTTAAACGATGCGTGCTTAGCGGATGTTTTGCATAAGCTTATTCTTGATGCTAATGCAATTATGAATATTAAAACATCATTATTATTTAGGCCTTATAAATTATTAACTAAATTGTTAATAGACTCGAAAATTTTAGTATATTTATACTACTGTATGTGGTGTATTAATTGTAAACAATGAAATTTTGTGTCTGTCTATTACAGTTACTCATTTCAAAACTTTATGCTATTATCATTACTGATATAATTTGATACTTATTAAAGTTTCTTTTTGAAAGTAACTAATTATGTTCAAATTTGTTTTCGCGAAACTTTGAGTACTAATACTTTTGCATGGCAGTGTACTGTTTACCCTAAATTTGCATAGTCTTTCCATCTTTGATGTCATATCACAATTAATAAATTTAGTCTTGCGGAAGATTATGCAAACTTTATGGTCATCCCATAATTGCTGAACCATTCAAACAACGGTCATTTGGCATTCATAGCTTTGCATAACCTTAATTAATTTGCAATATGCAAAGCTAATTAACTATTTAATTTTTTGTTTAATATTATAATCAGCAGAAAATACATTAAAATTAAATACATTGTTCAGCTTGAAATGTTGCCTAAAATATTAAACTTTCAAAGCAGAATTTTTCCTCAACTTTATCAGACTTCATATTATTTTTTCTCATAATTACCCGGTCAAAATTAATCTAACTCAATTAATTCAAATCCTTTATTTCAAAAATATTTTTGACCTGAAAATTTCTGTCAGAAATGAAAAAATTTTTCAATTTTACATGATTAATTTTGCTCCAAGTTAATTTTAGGAAATCATAGAACTTTTCCTCGAAAATGAGTACTTTGATTGTTTGCAACAATTTCCATTCGTTTATGCTTTCTGAAAAAATTTCAGTTTAGGTTAAAGCAGAATCGACAGAAAGTATGGCAGTATGTATTAGACTAAATTTTACTGTAATAATATGATAAAAAACATTGAATTTCTTGAAGTTCTCAATATTGAATGAATCAGTGTCAACGCTTGCCCTTCTTTAAAAAATTATTCTCGTCTTTCAATCGAACTAATATTCTAATTTTATCATGTTTCTTATTTAATAATATTATTGTTACTATATTTATTATTTTTCTATAAATTTGATGATGATAATAATAAATACAATATTATATTTTTGTTTCTCATTAGCACAACTATTATCTATCGAGAATTTTTTTTATTTATTATCTATCGTAATGTAATTCTGTTATCATTTCCAATCCACGAAAAATGGAAAAAAATGAAGAAATTTTAAAAGACATGGAGGAATAATGAAAATTATAGGCTAACAAATTTCCTAAATTACTTATTAAAAATTTTAAAAAAATAGCCTCGAAAATATGGTTCAAGTATTTAACAATTAATATCAAAATTATTGAAAACAAAGGTATTTTTTATTATATTTGTGATATCATTATAGAGATAATTCATGACCTTAGTAAGGTTGTCAATGTTTTTTGCACAAAGTTAATCTTGAAGGAAAGAAGATCAATCCGTTTTTTAAAATTATTCATGTAAATATAATTGTCTATGCCTGTTATGACATACCTACATCAGTCTAGCATGGTTATATCAATTTAGCATGAATTGATTGGGTCAGTTTAGCATAACTGTAAGTAATTGTGGTGTTATTTATTATGGCAGTGTAATTCACGTGACTTGTGATTTTCCGCGATGTTCCAATTTTAAAGACTACATCGTCAAAACGATGAAAAAAGAATGCACGAATACTTGAATTTAAATAATATTCACTACAGAGTTTTCCGAATTGTTATTGCGAGCAAATGTTCGTTAAATGAGAAAAATCATCACATGAGCAATCTGAGTTGATTTTTGCTCAAGATTAGTTTAAATTTGTGAATTTCAGTAAAGGAAAGGGAATGACTTAGTCTGTTAATAATTTTTGACGCTGACTGATATCAGCACTGTTAAATCAGTGCTCTGCTAAATGGCAGTCTTCACAATTTTTTACTCTTTCCCATGTGCTTGAAAATATTGACAGTTTTTCACTTACAAGTAATTTATGCAATAAGAGGGATAATTATTACTGTCATTTTAAGTAATTATTACAGGAAGTTTGCTAAAAATTGAAAAAGGGAAGACATAAATAATAAGAATTTTATGGAAACAACTGGTAAAGGTTTACGAAGAAAGGAAACGATTTGGAGGACATTCGACACAGCGATTCATACCTGTTTCAAACTTGCTCATTCCTTCATCTGCAACTAAGGTATGATCGCTATGCGATTTTCACTGCACACACATTCATGCACATACACAGACACAGGCATGCGCACTCACGTAAACACACCCACGTAGAGGCAGACAAGCAGACACGTGCATGCATTCCTTCAAATTAACTTCACGCTGGCAACTTCCACTGTAAGTAGTCCTTTTAATTATCAAATTGACTACTTCGTTTCATTTCATGCATAAGTTAGAGTATTTTAGTTTATTTCACGACGAACTATTTACGTGATAACTTGGCTTATTGGGTCAAATTAAGCCTCAATTCTGTACGTCATTGCTTTTGTTAATTACTCTGCATGTATTGCATTACGAATAGGAAATTAGAAGTCAATTTTCTTCTGCAAACTTACTTGGCACTTAAATCTTTTTTTAGTTCTTTTTCGAATCAAAATTAGGTAAATAATAATAGCAGCTTCATTGATAAAAATTATACTTGTGAAGTTTCAATATTAAAGATGTTTCTATTTCAATAATTTAATGGTGAAAACTTCAGTAACGTTGATGATGACAAATGGCAGTGATAATAATAACATCACTATTGTAATACTGATACTGATGTTATTATCAAAGAAGAGTTATTGCTCAGTAATAATATGAGAAAATAATTATTATTTAAAGTGATAATGAAATTAAGATTAATAAAAATAAGTATTGCTGAAGATGAAATTTTTACAATGTGATGATATTTGCATGGGATTAAACTATAAACTCATTGCATGCACTGATTTTCTTCCTCCTTCAATAATGGATATGATGTGACTGCTAGTATCAGATTTCAGCACCATTCTTATCACAAGTATCATTTTTAGTGCTATTAACATCAGTGATACAACTTTTACTAGTGCTATCACCAATAAGACAATTATTACAACAAAATCAACCGAATACTGGCTGATTCAGATCATCGCTCAGTCATTCCTCCTTGACCTAAATATATAATTTTCGTATCACTTTACCTTCTTAATTCCCTGACCTGATCATATCTATCCTCGTCCGAAGCTATTCTATCCCATCAACCGTTCCTCCCACTCCGAACTAATACCAATTAACATACATTCAAATGCAACCACACAAGCAGACACACACACATACACACACACATAAAAATCATGGTTGAAATACAGCAGACCACTCGAACATCAGTAAAATAGATGAATGTATGAATCTTTAACATATGCGGTTTTATTAAATTACTGACAACTTCATTATGATCAGTATTACTATCAGTACTAACTACGTCATTGTTTCTGATTATCATTACTTCTTAATAAATGATTTACGGATATATTTTTCAATTAATTAAGAGTTTCTGCATTAGTGATCTATAAAAAAGACATAATCTTTTTTGCTTGTGAAAAGTCCTTGAACTTTTAAGCAAATCGTTCTGACAGTTTATTTGTTATGACTTATGCTATTATTACCAATATTATTATTAAAATCACCACCATCAGTATCATCTTTTCGAACAATTTAAATCGGGGAATGAAAAATTTATGAGTTTTGCTCACATAGCTGTAACTCTATAAAATTTATCGCCATTAAATTTTATTAATGTAATTATTATTGTCATTTATTTATTTATTTATTACTATTATTATTATTATTTTTATTATTATTGTTATTACTGATTGTAAATTTATATCGGATCTGTTGCTAAACTATTAAAAAAAACTAATTCTATTCTTGTAGAAACTGATAATTTTAGCCTTGCTCATGAACTATTTAAATATGAAGAAAATCCATAAAATTCCATTTTAATTACTGAGAATTTTCGGTTTGCTGGAAAGGCTAGCTATGCGATACTTTTTTTTCCATGGATTTTGCCTTTTGTTTATGTAATCATTAAATGAGCTGTCTTTTGCATATATTTTAATGATCAATTGATTACTTGATACAACTTTACAAAAAATAATATAATATGCTTTTGTTATTCAATTCTGAACAACATCTATATGATACAATAAATTATTACTTATCTCAGATACCTATGCTCATATTAGTATTAATAGCAATGATACCCTTATCGAAATGTAATAATTAGTTGCTGACGCACTTTTATTAAAGCATTAAGGATACATGGTAAAACGTTTTACATGTACATGACTGTAGTTAGTGGTTGCAATTTTTCTGATTGCTAAACTCAAATAGAAATGTAATATTTCCAAAATGACCTACCGAGTCGAAATTGTATTTTGCAAACTGTGAATAAATTTCTTTAATGATTTACTTTGAAAATTGAATCCAAATTGCTCTGTTCTATTTTAATTTATTTTAGTACTACAGATAAGTTACTCTCGCTCTGATTAATTACGTAAGTATTTCATTTCAAATATATAGCAATTTATTAGTTTTTTTTAGGGTTTTAGCCTCTTTCTGCCATGGTGGCAGTACCGTTTTGTCGATGTCGAGTACTATATATCGGTAGCGCTGTGCCAACTATAACTAAAGATGGCCTACAAGGAATTCAACAACCACTGCGTGAACGTTATCCTATTGATGACAATGGTGATGCAAAAGGAATTGATTCATGGTTTATCTATCACTATTTGTCCAACACTTTTTGACATTAATTGTTCAAATTGAAATAAAAATATGATTCTTAAAAATCTGAAGGTTTTACTTGGAGCATTCATTATTTTAGTTTTAAAACATGTGTGAAATATAATTGATTTGTTCGTTGATTTTTTGATCTTACCAGAAACAAAATGCTAAATAGTACTTTTTAACTAATGAATCACAGTAAAACATACAAATATGCATGTAGGATAATATTTGGTTAACGAATTACTGCTTAAAAAGGAAATTATTTTTGACTACAGTAATTGTAATAGATTATAATTTTGTCACTTGATAGCAACAAAACAGTCATGAAGAACTTTTAAATTTAAAAAATTTAAAAATGATTTAAGTGTAGTCGCATCATTTTATGACTATTTAAATAATTTAAGGCTATCAGTGTGGTCTAACGGTTTGCTGTTAGAATATATTGATGGTGAGAAGAAAACTGAGACAGCTTTCCATCCCATCAATTCTCTTCATTACTGTGCAGCAGTACGATATGTAAATGTGACTGGATATGCAATTGAAGGCGGTGGAGAGCGTTTTCTACCTTTAGATTCACCGTTTGCAAGTAACGAAGACAGCCAACATCCACCAATATTCGCTGCTATTTTCAGGAGAACCACTGGAATTAAAGTATGTCTAATACTGGCTTACTTAAAAACAAGAATACTCTAACTGTACATTGTAAGGGTATTAAATTAAAGCTACTATTTCTGAATATTTCGATTTCCTAAATAAACTGTTATTCGTAGTTATAAAACAATTATGCACACCATAATTTCAAATATTTCACTTTGATATTCTTATTTTCTGACGCATTTATATGAAATATAGCAAAATATTATTTACTCAAGATTTTATAAATAGGAAATGATAACACTTCTACCATTTTTAAAAGATTAAGCTATTAAAAAATTAATTACAGTTTTTTTGAACTTCGATACCAAAAATTGTAATGTTTCAGTGAGATGCAGTTGAAAATCTCAAATTTGGAAGAAGCTTTATTTCAAATAATCATTTTAGAATTTAGCAGAATTGTAACAGTCTTGAGATTAATAAGTTATAAGCTGCAGTCAAAAACTACTTTGTTGCTAAAGAAAATGTAAACAACTCAATGCAAATGTAGTTATGAGCAAAGTTTTGCTCTATCCACACTAATTAACATTCAAAAGTGTCTGCAAATATTATTGCAGATTATAAGAAAACTGTCAAGAAGGTAGTTATCTTCACACTCATCTTTGAATAAACTTACATACTTCTTACTTTTGCATTTTATGAATCTCATTTTGGGTTTCTATACTTGGAAATTTTTTAAAATGCAAAATTTTGTCAAAATTCGTCGTTAATTAATTATCTGAGATCATGTTTATGCATGTATTTATTTCACTTAAATTTATGTATAAAAAACAATTTTATCAGAGTACAATACAGATTTTCACGAATATTTAGGTCCTTGAATGTCACGCATTCATATGTACGAATGCAAAAGCTGCAAATGCTCTTGTGCGCTGTGGTTTTCACGCATATGCTGAGTCAATGTATGTAAAACTTGATGAACGATTACCAGCTTTGAAAGCTATTAAAGATGCTAGCCGAAGTGCTAGTCCACCAAGTGAACCATTTCCAACGTAAGTATCCAGATTCGTTTTCCGCAACCTATGCAGATCTCAAAAATTTATTGACGAAAATTGCGTGTTTATTGACATTTGATATAAAAATGAAGTAATTTAAATATTCTTAGTCTAATTTTGAATCATAATGAAACCCAGAAAGTGAGTGACGTTGATTTCCTTGCTATCATTTTCATTTTTAATTCTATCGCATGATCATTAATTGAATTCGTCAAAAAAAATTCATTACTTTGAAATATAAATTTTATGCAAATTTTCAGAGAAATTGAAGAGATAACAGCAATTGAAGATGACAACAAAGAATTAGAACAACAACGATGGACAGAACGAACAATCGGTAAGGAAGCCTGGGAGAGGCGACAGCAATCAGGTGAATATGATTCCGCCAGTATATCTTCCTCAATCGGAAATCGCTACAGAAACAAGAAGCAAGATCGAGAACGATCAAGTGGTTAGCTTCATTGAGTCACTAGCCCTTATTTTATATCTATCATTATATTATCTGATGTGAGATGACTTCGAGAATATTTTTTCAGTAGATCTGAATGATCACATTTTTGATTTGCACGCATCGATTAAGATGTATTTTTTATCATTGTTTCAATTACATCAAAAAATTTTGGATAAAAATTGCACATGAATTGAAGAAAAATTCATTTCTACTAACTATCTTCCTGTCATATTAGATCAATTTTAATAACAGTGTTCGTGAAAAGTCATTAAATCATATGGAACTGATTCAATTTTTAGTTGGTGATTAAATGAAATATATAGTAAAATCGGATTCAAAAATTAAAAAAGATTTTTCACTTCAAGCACTAGATAAAATACTGATCTATCGTTAGCTAAACATCCA